AATTTATGGCTTAAATTAGCTTTTTATAACTTATTTAATTACTTAAATTTTATTAATAAATATAAATAAAATTGAAGTAATTTTTAATATACAAAATACAACCCTTAATGTGTATTTTGTATATTAAAAATTAAAAACAACAGACATAAAAAAGGAGAGATATCACACAATGCGATTTTTTATGATTTTTAAAAGCTATTTCAGAATGAAGATTTGAACTGCACGGATAAAAGTTGTTTTAAGTTTATGGTTATTCTGAAATAAAATTGTGATTATGCTTACGTACGCAATTCAAAATCACTGTCATATCTCACTCTATAATTTTTTAAACTCGTTTAGAATAAAGCATATTTCACCGTAGCTACGATCATGAAATCTGACATGTAAAGCCTCTAGTATAATTTTCTAAGCTAAATGTAGACACACCTATAAAGCCTCGGTATTAACAGAGTTACAAAAACATTTATTACATAATAAGCTGTAATTGCTTTCACGCAAGAGATACAGGTAAAAAAAATATACTACATTATGCTAATCAAGTTATCTTCTATCATCGTTAAACTATGTCTGCTGCTAAATAGACACATTATATATGCATGCAAACAGATTTCCAACGTCATTAAACCAATGTTTAACGTATTAAATTCGCTAATACCTGTGCTTATACTACATTGTGTACCCATTCGAAATCTTTTAAGATAAGATACGTGCTTTATCTACAGTTTGAAGAAACTTTGAAAAAGATAGAGATTTTTAATTCAGTAACTAAATATAAAGACTTCTAAATTAATATGATAATTTTTAGATGCAAGCTTATAAGAATAATTATATACATACTAAGATATATCACATACATTTCAGGATCTAAACTCTATATTGGTCTAAGTAGAATTCAAATGCTAATATTAACATTCTACAGTAACACAAACGTATGGCATTGCTAATAAATTTTACGATAGTCGCAAGGTCTACGTTCGTAAGCTTCATCGTATGAACTATGTCACACAAATATTTGCACATATTTATTATATCGTAATAATTATGTTATTATCTAGAAAAAATATCCGTCTGGTCTCGATATAAAACATTAATATTAAGTATATCTGCGGAAAAGAAGGAAATTAGCCCATTTGGGATGTTATAATTACAACTGTACTGTGTGTAAATGTACTGAATACAGTATGATCCCGACCAGTATTATTATTTACAACATGTAGCAATAATAACAAACTGCAAGACGGTACTGAAATTTTTAACAACCTACATACTGCTGGTTATCAACGTCATCATCACTCTACGGTAATATACCTCTACTTTACCCTACTCCCGAGTACATATTGTTGACATAGACTCGTTTAGAAGCGTTTGAATATTTTTTTACTGCTCTGTTGCTGAATTCGCATCGTCAGAGGTTATTCGTATGCGCTAAGGAAATTATACATACAACGCATACGCACTAAGAGCGAAAATAATCCCCTTGACTATACTAATATTCTGTACCGATTTTGAAATTTCTTTTAGTTGGATAGCCTTTTTATAGAGCAGGAAAGCCTACAAACATCATGCTATAAGTAATAGGAGCAGAGGTGCAATGAATAATGTTTCAGAAAGGGGGAAAATGTGGTGCAAAGGAAGTAGCGCGGATCATTTAGTTTACAAATAAGCTTGCGGATGATTTTTTTATTATAGATGTTTGAAGAATAAAACACGTAAAATGATTAATCATCCCGCTCTTAAAGAAGAAACAATGGAAACACAAAAAATAATCGATTTCTAATATAAGAAGTCCAAATTATTCTTAATTAGACTGTTTTTAAGATTACCATTCCGAATACGATTAACTAATGCCAAACTCTTTAGTATTCTAGGTAATCATTTAGTGATGTGTCACTCATATTGATATTCAATTGTTTGCTTGTCTCATTACTAGTTTTCTCATCAAGATTTGAATGGCATAATGTCAGCGAATGAAGTCATCGACATAATCGTGTAATATATAAATGGTGTAAACATTCCAAAGACGGACAGCACAAACTTGTCACTCGATTTCCTTATAAATTATTTCTCAATACAATTGCACAACAGCTAATTAACCAGCTGAGTGGATAAATAATTACCTGCAGTTGTTGAATATATAGCACGAAGTGGAAAGTTATTGACTATCCCTGACTAGACTCCTGACACACTGAACTGCTATCAATGCAGAGCCTGCTGATTGTAGAATACCGAAATTATAATACTGATTTATTTTTTGACACGAACTATGCCACGGATTTACTTGAATTACAAAGTGTGCTCAGCGTTAAACTAGGATACGATCTATATCTGTACTGGATTTTATTTACAAACCGCAATGTCATTTATGCGTTATTTAAATAACCACTATCTTCTAGAATTACTACAGGTAATTTTCCCAAGGATCCCAGTGGAACTACTTGTATCTAGAATCCACGAGATTATATTCATAATAAGATGAAGAGCTAACAAAGGACACATTGGCCTCTAACAAACAATCCAGTAGTCAACACATTTCGAAATAGTGATAGCAAAAAAAAATATCCCTACGCCTTTAAGGTCAACGTTATATGTCAAAGATTTTAATATTTCCAACCAAATAGTATATACTAATAGACAGTGAAATAATGAGAGAAGACAGTGAAATAATGAAGAAAGAAATGAGAGATTAAAGTATCAAATACCGTCTCTGTTAAACGGAAACCGCAAATTCTTGCGTACTTGAAGGTAAGCAATGTTAATATCACACTAAAAAACAACTACTAGTCGGTAAAAAACACTTGAATTGTTTGCAGTAAAAGTTTTGCAATTTCAATACTTGTAACAATTTCTATAAATATTTGTAGATACTTGTATACAAAACAAACTATAGAAATCCTCTACACATTCTTACTAATACATACATAATACAGAGGATTTTATATACATTGAATATAAGCTTAAACACTACCTTAGTCTGAAATGTGGCAGTAATGAAATAAAAACGGCTACGATCATCATCATTAACTATAAGTCTAAACTATAAGCCAAATAAATGTACATTAGTTATATACCATCATATTTACACACAGTTCCCAGACATATATATAAAATAATATAACTTTACTGTGAAAATAAGGAAGTGAAGAAGAGGAGTGAAATACATAATTTTATGAATTCTACGTTGTAGTCATAGCGACTAAATAAAGGAAGGTAACAAACGTTTTAGCTAATTCTTGAATATAATTAAACTTAACCTAAATCCATCGGATTTAGTAGCCCGAGGAAACAAAATTCACTGCTATTATTATCTGTTCTGTGCAGACGACTAGAGAATTAAAATACTATTTTTATTTAGATACATGAAGAAATCGTATCGTATCTGTCTAAATAAAATAAATAAATCTAAATAACGTCTTTATTGCTTTCGATAGTAGGTACCAAATTAGCTACCGAGGTTGTGAGTAATACCAGCTGTAGGTAATTCCAATAATCAATAATTCTACTGCATGTTGATTATATTTTTTTAACAATAATCTTTAAAGTTGTAAAATCAGCTGCTAATATTTGTAATTTTACAATATGTTATACTAGGTACAAAAGAATGTCATTTTAAGCAAGTTAAAGAAACATTAAGCTTTACATATTTTAACTCAAATTTACTTCATATTTGAAGTATTTTATTAGTAGTTTTGTAACACTACAGACATACGTGAAATTAAAGACATATTTTTATTAAAAACCTAAGGGCCTATTATTACAATCCTACAATCATGTTACATCTGCACGTCAAATATCCGTCATTACACGTGTACCCTACGTTCTTCAGCCGACGAACAGATACAAAATTAGAAAATCCATTTACCAGATTGGACTTGCATTTTTTTTAATGTCAGTTACTTAGTAAATACAGGTGTTTGTTATTTTCTGCATCCAAAATCAGAAGCAAATCATTGTCGGTGGTTTTTAATGCCACCAATGATGAAGAATTAATGTAATTATTTCGCTGAGTATAATTCATGGGATTCCACTAAATGTCCGATGGACAGGTGTAATATAAAATAACAGGAATAGAACAATTTCCCGTGAATGTCGCCGCGAGTCGCGACCGTTCCGTGGGAACGCTACACCTGCCTCTCATAAGATCATTCCAGTTATATTGTAAGACGTCATTACATATACTTTTTGTCACTGCAAATATCTACTCTCTGGCGTGTTATTGTAAAATTATAATGTGTCACTTAATCAAATAAAAATAATTAGAATTCAATTGTATAGATGAATCATTGAACTGGTTTCTAGTATTAATAGTATAATTAATTTGTAGTATCAATATAACACGTATTTACTAATTGTTTCTTCTCTACAGAAGAAACAATTAGTACTAAACGTGTTAAATTGAGGTAAACTATGTTTTTTAGCATTATTTTTTACACTATATTCAGGTATCATACAGACAATTAAAATGTAACGGCTAACTTTGCACTTATTTTTGAAACTTAGGCCTGCCACTAAATAAATTAGTTACTTTATATAACTCTGAGTATTAATAGACAAGTTGATTGATAGATATGAATAGGTAGATAATGTGTCTGTCTACGCACACCATCATCCAGAAACTACTGGACGGATGATTGACAATATGGAGAAACTTTAAATGCGTCTAAAATAGAAGCTTTTTAGAATGACTTTATCTTAGGAGTTACCTATACAAAAATGTACATATCATTTAAGATCCACGTCTCTAATACCGGTGTGGGTTAACTTTATAGTTTTTTTTTTTTCTAATATCTATTTAAGGAGACGTATTAGTATACGGTAATAATCTTAATATAAGCACTATTGACAGTAGTATTTTTTAATAGTACCGCTCCAGACTCATTACAAAAAAATGAACTAGAAACTTGTTGCTTTTATAAAAAAAATGTTAGGAATTTTCTGTATTGTTTTTCTCTTCCTGTTATCTCGTTTACTACACAGTGAAGACAAAAATAAATAAAACGAACCTTTCTTGGGGTCCATATTAAATTTCTTTCGTCCTATGCTCATCTGTTTGGCTTTACTATTCTGCTTACACTCCTCTTGGCCGTCCAAGGCCTCCAACTCGGCCACCACCTCGCCGAGCTCATCTTTGAGTTGCTGAAACAATAAAAAAAATATTTTCAAATATCGAAAATTTTTAGACATAGAAAATATATTGTATGCAAGATGTAACATGATGATGTTGTATATATGATTTTATGGAATTTGCTGCTAACATGACATGCTAGACTACAAAGGTCTTCGGCGGTATGGCGGTTAAATACACCGTTTTTTTCTCTCGATGGTTGCGGGTTTGGTTTGATTCGATTCCTCGCACGATGCAAACATTTGTATTAAAGAGAATGATTGATTTTTTTTTGTTTGCATGTATATTATGTATGCTTTTACAAAGACATGTTCCTAAGTATTTATATCAGTTGTTTGTTCACGCAGCGTCATCAGTCCCAAGGTAAACAGGTCCTGGGATTAGATGACGGCGTGTGATTTGTGTTGAGTTATTATTATTAATAATTATCCATTATAGAACCCACACAATAACCACGTATAAGCTAGGCACGAGAGAAGACTACAAGTGTAAATGAAGAAAGTCAGCAGTATATCGTGATTTATTCACCAGCAATTCAACGCGGTCATTTTCAAGAAGATACGTGTGGAGGGCGACCTAATAGGTTTTATATAATTATTGGTAATGGGGACAGTGGTCCACATTACTAACAACACATCACCCAGTAATATGTCGGGTGTAAAAATAAACCTCTGTTTTAATCCCTAAGTCGAATTTGATAGTCTAGACTAGTGCAAAGTTTTAGCAGACAACAAACCACAAGGCAAACCGCATTGCTGCCTTAGTGATAGGAATGTTCGTTCGTCGCCTATTGGATTCTAAAGCCACTCGGAGGTTTTTAATAAATTAAAAAACAAAATTGCTCAGTTTGTTACTAAATATACCATGAACAAATAGAGTATAACTTAAAATAAAAGTCTACCACGACAATATTTTGTTACTTCGTCCAGTATATAGGCCACCAACATTCACATGTAACTATTACTGCGATAATAATAAAAATAAGACAATATGATACAAAAAGCATGAGAAAAATTGTTTAGCATGGCTACACTGATTAACAGTAATGTAATTATTTATATTAAATTGGACAGAGAAAACTTCACCATTGTAAATGGAAGTTTATTGTGTTTCTATAACAATTAACGGTGTGTAAAGTATTGTGAAAATCATATTTTTATGTGGCTGAATCTAACAAAGATAAAAACCTCAAATCTCAAATAAATAATATATTCGGACTTTGGAGACATAAATCAAACGATTATTATTAGAAACTCATCATTTTTGTCATATCAGAGCTGAACAGGACACCCGTAAAACCCAAAAATTACAAATTAATTTATCATATTATATTTATATACTATTAGCTAAATACAATATAATTCATAAACTTGTGGTAATAATGAACATTTAAGTTTTTTTATTGCCACAAAATACTGATATTAAATGTTACTAAATTATAGTACGGAATAAACCATGCGCAAAAACAAATGACAAAGTTCGTTCATAATTAACGAAAGTATTGCGTAACATCAACAATAAAATAGGCAGGAAAATTGAAAATCTCATCGTTATAAAAATAGTTAATAGTTGAAAAATACAAATATGATTAAAATATAAAACTAGTTCTCAGCATAATACGTACGGCCGGCACGTTGTGGAACTACCGTAATTTGCGGTCGCCCACCGATACCTTGAAATACAATATCGGCGTTCGTTGTCTAGTGCAGTAATCGTAAACTGGGTTCCGCGAAACCTAGGGGTTCCTTATAAAGTCATCAGGGTTCCCCCGAAATTATTTATTTCTATTTTACTCATTATATTTGTGTAAATAGGTAGACAGTTAGCAAGCATTCAGTCCACGTTGTTCAGCCTCCGTTTATACAAAAAAAAAACAAATACAGGTCAAGATATACTATACCTCAGATATACGAATACAATTATCGGTTATAATACCAAACTGTAAGATAATTATTCTTAAAAATTAATTTCTTCAAAAATTTTTTTAACATAGAGAAAATACAAAACATTATGTTGGTGTTCCGTTATATTTAAACTTGGTAATCCCTGTTCTAGAATAAACGATCATACTATATTTATTATTATACTACACTATTATTAAACAAGTTAAAACGTTAGTAAACTAGCGTAGTGATGATAATGGTCATACCGTTGAAGGTAAACAAGGTAATGTTTTCCATGCAACTAGTGACAACTATTAAAATATTTATTTATTTCAGAGAGAACAAAATGTCGACTCGAATCAAACTAGAAATTACAAATTCGGAAAATAAAATCACAAAAAAATGTTTATTGGAAACAACTTTTACATTATGCTATTGTAATGAATATTTGAATTAATTAGGAACATATAATTTTTAACCGAGCAATATACATATAGAAAGTTAAAGAGGAAAGGAATATTTATTTCAGCGTAGAGAAAGTTCCATATAAATATTTATATATTTAAATACAAATAGCTAAAATAATAACAACTATCCATTTTTTATTACGTCATTATACAAATTATTAATAGTTAAATCGTTTTCTCTGTTTATACGGATTATGAAGCATTATTTTGCAGCACGCCCACGTGCTCACACGTTTCCACAGAAGGAAAAATGAATAGTATTATTATTTCTTTACTTATGACTGTGATCAAGCTGACTGTTTATACTTTACTTACATATTATACAGAATACCAAACAATAATTGTAAGATTAATTTATTTCAAGTTATGTCTGCTGTCGGGTAAACGGTCATTGCGTGCGTTCTGTGTACTCGACAGCTAATATGGGCACGATCCTACAGGAATGTCACCCGTACCATGTACTTACCTACTTTATTATTATGTACCAACCGCTACTAACATGAAACATTATCCAATAGTCACAAGGTCGACAGTTACTTGAAAACGGTTCTAAATAATCATCATATTCTCAAATGTAGGCGCGGTGTGATGCTAAGGATGTCTAGACAGGTTTTTGCAGTAGCAGGTGCATGATTTGTAAATATAATAGGGATAATTTAAAAATTGTAATACAATTGGAGACTAGAATCATTTTAAATCTATAAATAATTAAACTGTACTTTTCAAAGCACCTAAAATTAGACATAAAAAATAATTAATTATAATATACTATACCTTCTGTAGAAATTATTAGCACATACCGAAGTTTTTATATTAACTCTATTGTTGTGACTCTATTTACATTTCTTCAGGTCTTGTAATAAGCTATCTCCAATCGATATCGTCCATCTACTTTCGCTTATGCATTTGTAAATGAACCTTTCACTAACGTCTTTTAGTAGCGAAAAGTGAACGCGAAGATATCCTCCACGCCATCGAGATCAAGCTACCGTTTCGTTCGTTTCGTTAACATTTGGTGTTTGGCATAAGATCTCTTATCATTTATTGGTTATTAATAAAATTAACATTATCACCGATAACTTTCGACGATTTCCGATAATATCGAGTAAACGCGCCTTCATTATCGAGTAAAATATGTACTTATTACAAATATTAACGTTATAAGACGATATCTAATTTAAGTAGCTAAATATTTTTACCAAAATTAACTATTACTATTGAATATAGGAAGAAGTAATTGTTCTCTGTGTATAGTATAATACTAAAATCAATTAATTTCGGATGATACCTACTTGTCATTTCAATATAAATAAAAACTGATAAGATTTTCGCCATTAATATTGATCCTTTATGCATTTTTTTCCATTTGTCCTACATCAGTCCTCATGGTCATTATAAAAATCTATGACTAACAGATATCATACAAGGAAAACATAGTAATCTATAAGTATAATTAGTATATTTACTAATTATACTTATAAATAATGATCGCGTCAAACTTAAAACATAGTAATCTACGAAACAGAGTAATGGACGAAATAACCGCAATTTTAATTTATTAATTTGAAATATAAGCATAATATTTTTCCAATTGATATTAACAAGGTTAAGAGCGACATTCGAGACACGTCAACAATCTCTCTAGTCTGCAATTGGTCCACGAACATTTACTATAGAAATATCCAACGAGCTCGATATCCAATGTAGCTGAATGCGTCCAGTAGTCGGTTGATGAAAAGCTTTATCTCGTCTAGACACGCGGAACGAACCAAGAACTCCTGTCAAACCTTATTCTATGAAACATAAATCTGGAAATTGTTATGTTATTATATCAAATTCAATTACAACATTTATATTACAAAAGTTAATATTTAAGAGAGTAATCTTAGAGTACTTATGTTACATAGACCCTTCGGCCATTGTGGCAATAACAATACCATTGAGATAAAATTAAAAACTAATTACATTTCATCAGATTTTAAATGCATTACATCTAAGAACGTCTCGTTCAGAGAGTTCAACAATGTTATTAACTCTACTAAAATTAAAGATGATATATAGGTAAGCCATTACATAAACAAATGTTTTACTTATGGTCTGTTATACAATATTATAAACAATGATGTTCACGATAACCAGATGTAGCTGTAACCGTATCCGTAATTGTATACGAGCCATATCCGTTATTATTAATAACGAACTTAGCTGTAAAATGTGACCTGACTAAATGACGTTACATCATAAAATATGGTAAAGAAACTTTCTATATAATTTAGAATACTAGATACAGACAGACGGAACGGTCACGCTACTGCCAAATAAGCGTACTTAAAATGATTTTACAGACCTGAACCGATTATCCATAACTTATCGCGATTACATAATCCAATACTTAGTCAAAATGAAAGGTCTTTGGTTTTTATTACTGTTGTAAACTAGCTGATCCGACTTTGTCCTGTATTAGCAAAAGCCCTAACTGTCGCAAAATAGTCAATAAAAATTCTGAAATCTTTCCATTTTCTTAGTGTGCCATAAGAACTTTCAAAAAAGTATTAGAAACTCATAAAAAGTATGAATAAAATCATTAAACGATCTGTATTTATGGCGTGACCAAGGTAAATAGAGATTTATTTTTATTTATTATATAGATATAAAATATAT